GTGATAAACAAAATTGGTCCGGAGAAAACAAAGTTTGTAGAGGGAGGACCCATATTAAAAGAGAGAGAACACGACTCTGTGGATACTAGGTATTTTAGAGTGCCAGAAGTTTCAAAGGCGAGTGTCAAGAACCTTACCACTGAGGGAATTCTTGGCAAGCGGAAGGATCTCGAGACAAATGGATTTTTGTATGGTGAGTCCTTCCCTGACCCAACTCTTTTTCTATATGGAACAGATATCTATATTTGGTGTGTTTTTACGTTATGTTTTGTTCAATCATGATATGCTTCTTGACCTTGATAACTCATTTGATTTCATTATATATTAGTATATATTCATTTTCACTTTGTACTATTAATGGAAGATCGATTTTTCTGATTTTGTTTTCCTGCAATAGGTGAATGTGTTTTTCTTATGCTATTACTGTTTGTCTCTTAGCACGGGTTCTTTAATTGTTATGCAGAGAATGGATCTAGGCCAAACAAGATACAGAGGCCAGTTTCTTCTCCTATATCATCTGTGGAAAACGTAAGAAAGTTGGGAGCATGCCACACTCCGCCGAAGCCTGTTTCTGAGTTGCTAGGAAAAGTGTGTAAGCCAGAGGTCAAGGAGCATAAAATTAATGGTTTCATTGATTCTCAAGAACCCAAAAGCCATCCACCTGTTTCTTCAGTGAAAGAGAACGGTGAAGCATCTGCAAAAAAGCGGCCTCATTCGGACTTAAAGTATTTGGATCAGATACTGAATGTACCGAAAAGGGAGGAATTGCATGAGGTTGATGATGATGAACAAGAATGGCTATTTGGTCAGTCTGGTATGAAGTTATTAAAGAAGCAAAGATCAGATTCGACTACTTCATTGGATGAGACTCAAGTCTGGAACAAGGCTCTTAGAATAGAATCTGCTGATATTGTGGCTCTTCCATATGTTGTTCCATTCTAGTTTGACTACATTCTGATACTCATTCACTTCAAGCCAGGAGAAAGATCCTCTGTCCCACCGCATTGCAGTGTTGATTCATCTACAGCCATGCACAACTGAAATGGGAAACGTTGGGATGTGACTGGTTACAAAAGCTTTGAATGGCTGGAATCAAGAGATAGAAGAGGCCTCTAAGGGCTGTGTAGGTTTTAGAGTAAGATCTTTTTTGAGAGTGTGGTTTTATGAGATTTCAAACATTTTGGTTCAATTTTGATTCTGCTGCATCATCTTCAGTAGATGGGATTAGCATTAAGTTGTATATTAGAGAGGATATAGAGAACTGGGGAGATCTTATAAGTTACCCACTAATACATTACATTTGTATCTACTTTGTTTCCCCTTTTCTTGGTCAAAATTATTCTTGGAATCCAAACAAATCCTGATCTCTTGTTGTGTACAGATCTCTGGATACATTCCAATTTCTCTTTTCTAAAGAAACTCCAATAGTGTAATAATATGGCTAAGAAAATCTGTATTTATTATTAAGAGAATGTCGCACCTAACATAGAGATAGATGTTCCATTCCATGTCAGTAACAAACGAAACCATGATGAAGAATCAAAACCAAGAAATAATTAATCTGCTTCCGAAGTTTTGAGACTTGGAAGTTCATTAATCTGCTTCCGAAGTTTTGAGACTTGGAAGTTTGCATATGAT